ACAGAGGGGGATGCTCCAGCGAGGTGTCCCCATCCCAACAGAGGGGGCTGCTCCAGCGAGGTGTCCCCATCCCAACAGAGGGGGATGCTCCAGCATGGTGTCCCCATCCCAGCAGAGGGTTCTCCCTGCCCTAGGTCTGGAGGAAGCCAATGATGTCAGCCTCCACCTGCAACCGCTGCAAGCACTGCTGGATGAGATAGAGCAAGGGGAATACTCCCAGGTAAGTGAGAGATGGCAAAATAACCAGGCACAGTCTGGTGGCCTCATCTGGGCAGCAGCAGAGCCCCAGAGGCTCAGGGGGACACATCCCCCGGGCTCTGCTGTGGCCTTGCCCTGACTCTGCTCCTGCAGGTGCARTCCTTCGTGCCCAAGGTGCTGTGCACTGTCTGCCTGCTCCGGGCTCACTGTGTGTACTACCACTCGCCTGCCAACATAGCCCGCATCCTGCAGGAGCTCTGCAACCTCTTCATCAGCCTGGTACAGCCCCAGGGCCAGCACCAGCCCACCCCTGTCCCCTCCAGTGCCTCTTGGGGACAGATGGGGACAGTCTGGCTGTGGTGACACACAGACACTCCAGACAAGGGAGCAGCAGAGCCCCCGCAGGGCTGGGGGGAGTCTGGGGAAGGCAGAAAACAACCAGCAAATCCATGGGGGTGGAGGGAGCAAGAGGAGCCTCCGTGTCCTCCTGACAATGATCCCTGCCTGTGTTTGTCTGTCCCAGACCAATAAATTCCTGAGCCCGGAGGACGTGCTGAAGGGGCTGCAAGGAGAGCCCCAGGAGACCCTGGAGCAAGTCAAAATGGCCATCTCCACCTTAGAGAAGTTCTTCCAGTCCTACAGCACCTACTGCTCTGACTTAATGCCCACAATGTTCCCGGTGGGTGCAGGGACAGTGCAGGAGCCCCTGAGCCCTCCACAGCAGCCCCAGGGACTGACAGCCCCTCTCCCCCAGGAACAGCCGGAGCTCTGGGAGTTCCCCCCCACACACATCTTCAGGAGGTTGGATGCCTATGTCAGCAGGCTCAAGACCATCAAGGTGACCCCAGTGTTTCAGGGCACAGTGCCAGCCCCTGCCTGGGGATCCTGGGGTGGTCCTGGGGCTGGGACAGGGTGAGCTCAGCTGCAGCCCAGGGTGGGCAGCCCTGGCACGGTGGGGCAGCGCTGGCACTGCCTTGGCAGCATTGCCAGCTTCCCCCAGCCCTGAACCCCCAGGGCAGGACGGGCACACCCCAAACAGGCTGGGARCACCCCTGGGAGCTAAGCCAGGCTCACCTGCTGAGCTGCCAGGATGAGCCTTGTGCTGGTGCTGCAGCTCCTGCACCTGCGGTCTGGGACAGGGAAAAGCAGATAAAATGGGGTTTATGTTCTCAGGAGCTGTTCCAGGCAGCCATCGACTTCCTGAAACTGGAGAAGACGGTGCTGGGAGGAGTGCGAGGAAATTTCCTTGGGAGYTGGGTATTGCAGATCTCTGAGGACATGTGTGAGGTCACCAAGACTTTTGCTGACTGCAGATATGATCCCTTGGATCCTGATGAAGAGGTGAGCAGATGATGGAATGGAAATGTAATGGATGCTGAGATGGAGGTGTTAACATTTACTAAGTRAAAAGAAAAACATCTTTTGCTAGAGCACTCTGCAGAGCGACACATGGCACTGTCCTGCAGTGGCACAGGCCGGCTCTGGAGCAGCTCACAGGGCTCTGAACCCTCTGGGTTCAGTAAATCCTTCCTGAAGGATTTGGGAAGGAGGCCCAAGCACAGGGGCTGCACCGCCCTAAACCATTTTGCTCTCACTGGCAGCAATGGGACAAAGACTTTGCAGAGTTCCAGAAGAAGATTGAGGATGCAAACAAGCAGCTGGCTGCCATCTTCTGCCAGGGCTTTGATGATTGCAACCGCCTGTCATCTGCTGTGAAGGTACAGTGCCCACTCAGCAGCCTGGCACGCAGTGCCCGCAGGGGACGGGGGTCTCACCCACCCTTGGGCTGCTCTGGGGTGCAGGAACCAGAGCCTGCTCCCTCTCCTGCAGCTGGTGCACATGTTTGCAAACGTGCTGGAGCGACCCCTGATCAGGGCTGAGGCTTCCCCCTGCTACCTGGCCCTGCTGGGGATGTTTGATGCCGAGCTGGAGAGCGTGAAGGCTCTGTACGACACCCGGACGGCGCCCGTGCCGCCCCTCGGGGGTGCCCCRGCCGTCCACAAGAACATGCCACCCGTGGCTGGCCAGCTGAAATGGGCTCTGGAGCTGCAGCAGCGCCTGGAGGGGCCACACTCGGACCTGCTGGCCATCGACCACCCGTAGGTGCAGGTCCCCTGTCATCCAGGGACACGGGGCAGCTCTGGGCAGGATCTGTCCTGGAGAGGGTCCCTCCCGTGTGCTGCTCAGCCCCACAGCTCTGCTGTGCCCCTGACAGTGCCATGGTGGGTGCTGAGGCTGAGCTGGTGTCCGCCAAGTACGAGGAAATGATGGGGCTGCTGCARAGCTACAGCAAGAGGCTCTATGAGGAGTGGGCCAGCGGCCCCGGCGAGGTGTGCCACTTCAGCCTGGAGCAGCCCCTGCTGCTCAGGGACCCTGACTCGGGCTTCCTCAGCGTCAACTTCAGCAAAGAGGTGAGYGCTGGCACGGGATGGCAGCAATTCCTGCCCCAGAGTGAGCCCCAGGGTGTCTGTGGGGTGGAGGGTGCTGCTCACCAGCCCTTGGTGCTGTCCCACAGCTCGCTGCCGTCCTGCGCGAGGTGAAATACCTGAAAATGCAGCAGCAGCCCGACATCCCGAGCAACGCTGAGAAACTCTTCGCCCAAAATGAGACTTTCCAAAAGATTGGGGACAACTTGGAGCTCATTGTGGGCTGGTACAATGAGGCAGGTTCTGAAGGGGAGAGCACCCAGTGCTTTTCCATGCCCTGAGCCCCAGCCAGGCTGAGGGAGGCTGGGGGGTGTTTGGGTCACATCAGTGGCACATCAGTGGCACCTCAGGCACATCAGTGGCACCTCAGACCCCACAGGCACATCAGTGGCACCTCAGACCCCTCAGGCACATCAGTGGCACCTCAGACCCCAGCAGATCCTGTGCCAAGCCAGGCTGTGGCTGCTGCCACTCTGTTGGTGGGGTGGGGACCCTGTTCCTCGGTGCTGAGCTGGAACAGGGTCCCTGCTCCACCTGGGCACTCACCTGGGATGTGTTTGCTGCAGGTGAAGCGGCTGCTGATGCCAGTGGAGCGGCCGTTGCTGGCAGAGGAGCTGGAGGCYCTGGACATCCGTCTGGCCACGGGCGAGCAGACCATGTTCTGGAACCACGAAGGTACAAACCCCGACCTGGGCTATCCAAGGCTTTGGATCCTCCTTGTGCATTGTGGGGGTCCACAGTGCCCAGCACCAACTGACCTCCCACAATGTACTTGTGTGGCCATTTCTCTCCCAGGTGTCATGGAATACATCCAGGAGATGAGGGAGGTCCTGCATGACCTRCAGAAACGGGTCCAGAGTGCGAAGCTGAACCTGGAGAACATGACCAAGCTGATGGAGGTAATGTCTATCAGCATCTTCCCAGGACACATCTAGCTGGAATTGTCCTTTTCCTGGCTCAGCAGAGCAGCCCAGTTCTCTCCTCCCTGCAGGACCTCTCAGTCACTCCCTTGTTTGGAAGAAAGGACAACAAACCAACTGCACTCCTGGACCTGGATGGGAAAGAGAACGCCTTAGCTCAGCGGCGCACTGCCATCCAGAACACAGGCACCAAGATCCAGACCATGATGAAGGTGGGGTGTGGAGCACTCACAGGGCACGGGGAGGGGTTGCTGATGCCTTTGCTGGGTGCTCACTGATGRACGCTGGCTCATTTCCCGTGGCAGGAGAACGCAGCTCTGTTTAGGGCTGACCTGTCCTCGCAGACATGGATGGACTATGTGGCACACATCGACAAAATCGTCTTGGACGGGCTCTGCAAACTCGTCCACAAATCGCTGCAGATGCTGCTCACCAACATGGCCCCTGACGTAGGTGCCAGTGCTCTGGCCGTGGGTGTCACAGTGCCCACTGTCCATTTGGTCAAAAGGGACTGTCCCCATGTTCCCTGGTGGTGTTGGTGTCCCTGCAGCTTGTGGGATGTGGGGCTGTGGGGCTGGGCAGGGCTGTGGTTCACCCCACACTCAGCACTGTCCTGTTTCAGGCCCAGGTGTCCCCGCTGTTCGAGGTGCACATGGAGCTCTACGAGGGTCTGGTGCAGTACCGTCCCTCGCTGGAGGTGGGGGCCGGTGACAGCTTCTTGGTGCTGGTGGAGGGGCTGCTCGGGGACATGGAGGTGGTGGCAGCGTCCATGCCACGGCTGCTCGAGGGGGCCGTCAGCTACAAGGTGGGTCCGTGGCACATCGGTGGCCGAGGGTGGCCGAGGGTGGCCCAGGGTGGCCCGTGTCCCCAGCCCCAAGCTCTGCCTGTCCCTTTAGACTGCRCTGGAGCAGCAGGCAGATCTGGTGAGGATGCAGGAGAAGCTGATGTCTCTGGTGGTCACCGCCATGGGAGAAGGTGAAGAATTCAGCGCCAGCTTTGAGGAGCACTCCCATCTGTGGCAGGAGAGCCCCGAGGAGTTCCTGCAGCGCTTCCTSACCCTGGGCAGCGCTGAGGGGATGGAGGCAGAGCCACAACCTGAGATGGTCCTGGCACCTGGGATCCCGTCTCTCCAGCTCTTTCAGCAGGAGGTGTGGGATGGGTGCTTTGGGATGTGCTGGGTGCTCGGGGTGCCCTGGGAGGTGCTCTCCACAGACTGTGACCCGCTCTTGTCCCCAGATCGATGGGCTGGAGGCACTGTATGAAGAGGTGTTGGGGTTTGCTGAGACCAAGGTGTTTGGCGGGGGGTGGCTGCAGAGTGACTGCCGCCCCTTCAAGAAGGC